AAAGCATCTCCTTGTGGTGGTAGAATTTTTTCACTTCGTTTGAGTTGCACCTCAATTTGAGTTTCATTTGGGTTAATAAATAATTCCTTTAAAATATGTAAATACATCTAGGATGGGTAAAGAATTGTGACTCACACATCTGTGTGAATTAGTTTCATGCAGGGGTATTATTCAAAATATTTAACAACAGGGATAGCAGGGGCATTAACCAACTTTGGGTTGAAGAAGAATCCCAGAGACACCCCCTGCGCTGTGCTAGGCATTCACCCTTCCATTGCTGGATGATGGGAGGTCCAGAAAGCCCTAGTGGTGGGGTAAGAGGGTACATTGAGGGAATTAAAGGGGTGGCTATCTGTCAATCATTTTAAAATATTTCAATATTTTAGCAACCAGTACACTTATACTGGTATACACTAGATGAGTATCAGCCCTAGTCTCATGTATTTTGTATCCCAATAGTTAGCTAGTTTATATGGCAGAACGAGAATTCTGATTGAGAGAAGAAGAGAAATGATAATGCAATTCTGAAGGGCAATGAGTACCTGCGGAGAAAGAAGGCAAGAGATACCAAAACTAATTTAAAAATATCGTCCAGGGAAATTTCCTCTCATTCTTCTCCCTCACCTCTTCCTAACCACAGGTCTCCCTGTCCCCAGGGCCCATAATTATACTCATAATAGACTCTAGGTCAGTTCACAGAAAACCAATTTGCCAAAAGTCCATATGCTACGTGACTTACTTGTTCAATAACCAATATGCTAAAAGTCAATTAATTCACTTGAAATCCAATTCACTGAAGATCAATTAGCCAAATTTATCAAATTCATCAGTTTTCTAAAAATCCTTTATAGAGCTCACAGCATTTTGAATGTGATGGATTGGCAGGGTTAAGACTAAGGGGTGCAAGGGATCCAAATTGTTGGGGCCTCCAGACTCTCTTCCTGTCTCAGTTCATCCCTCTCTTTGCCCCTCAGGCTCACTCTCTGCTCCCAGGTCTTCTCTTTTAACCTCGCAGTCTCTCCTTCTCTAGGGCTGACAGGCTGGGCTGAGTCATACATATCCAATTTATAATACTGGTTGCCTTGGGGAGAGGAGAAATAGTCTGTTCTTCTTGCAGTGGAAGGTCCCTTCTCTCTGCCCCAGTTCCCTCCAGCTGCAACAGCAGGGCACTGAGACACAGACACAATGAACTTTCCTTAAAATGCTGACATTCCAGAAATATTCGCAAGCTGTTAAAAACCATCAAATTAGAACTGCTATAACACTCTTCAGTTAAACAGGGTTTTTTTTTTTTTTTTTTTTTTTAGTTAAACAAGGTTTTAACAACAATTGGTAAATTTGGTTAATTTTGGCAAAGTTCATTTGACAAAATTGAAAGTATCCTAAAAATGCTAAATTTTGGGAAAAAATTTTTAAAAGCTTTTTTAAAGGATCAGGAAGAAATCAGTATAAACAGTAAATTCCCGTATGAAATACTGAAAGTTTGTCAACATTCAGGAGAAAAATATGTTCATCAGTAGACTACATTTCCCTAGAATCTTCCAACAAATTAAACATTTCTTAAAATACTGGCTGGTAGTGTAACTAGAGAGTATGGGGAGTGGGCATACCAACCTAAAGTCATTCAAAGCACATTTCACATGCTGGCCATGAACCAACAAACAAACACAAACAAGGCAAAACAACCTTTACATGAATAAGACTCCAATTTATAATATGTATGTGTGTGTATAGAACAAAAAAAAAAAAAACAAACCCATTGCCGTCAAGTCAATTCCAACTCATAGCAATCCTATAGAACAGAGTAGAACTGCCCCATAGGGTTTCCAAGAAGTGGCTGTTGGATTGGAACTGCTGACCTTTTGGTTAGCAGCCAATCTCTTAACCCCTTCACCACAGCTCCTGTGTGTATAGATATGCACTGAAAAACTGCAAGATAACAACTAAACTATGAAAGGTATACACCTAACTCAGGGAAGTAAGATTTGGTAAAGGTGTGTGTGTGTTTAACTTTAACACAGATCAAATTTTTTTCTTCAGATAAACTTTTAAAAACAATAAACATGTATACACCTGGGGAGATGCGTTTCAGATTCTTAATGACCATCTTAGTAAGGAACCCAAATACAGTTTGAGAAGTTCATTTGGGAAATTTTAGAGAAAGAACAGCTACAAATCAGTTTTAGTTGTTTTTTTAAAAAAAACTTAGAACATCTACCAATTTTTTGTAGGCTAAAATATAACACATTGTTAAAAGGAAAAGGTTTTTTAAATTAAAAAAAAGTCTTACAAATAATCTCTCTTTTTTTAAGCAATATTTGACAGAATGGAATTTTAGTATCTTAGAAACAAATTTACTAGCCTTCTGAATAAAATACATTAAGAATTTAATAAGATTCCACATAAAAAAAGTATGTTTTCATGGAAGTAAATTTTACATTAAATTTTTAATTTTGCATTATGATAAAAAGTATGAAGTCTTTAATTTTATTCCCGTGATTTCTGATCAGTTCTCAATAAAATTAAAATTAAACTCCCCATAACTCTCATGCCATATTTCCCCAAAAGGGCTGGGAAAAAGCAGACAGTTTGAATGACTATAAGCTTCTCTAACATATTATTTCTTATTTAGCTTATATAAGGCCTCCAAACACCATTTGTGAGGAAGGGGGGTTTACATACAGAATGGTAGCCCTGGTGTTGCAGTGGTTAAGAGCTCAGGCTGCTAACCAAAAGGCTGGCAGTTTGAATCCACCAGCTGTTCCTTGGAAACCCTATGGGGCAGTTCTACTCTGTCCTATAGGGTCGCTATGAATTGGAATTGACTCAACAGCATCGGGTTATAGAGAATATAGCACATGTCCACATACTTACCATTGAAAACTTACAAGTATTAATATTGTAATATTAACTTCTGATCCTTCTTAAAATAAACATTTTTTATGAAGTTGATATAATATCCTATTTTTACTCTGCCCTAGCACTATTTTTCTCCTCTCCCAGAGGCAACCAATATTATAAATTTGATGTGTATTCTTCAATCTATGTTTATATATTTTATTTCATAGACATGTATTCATAAATACATAATATTTTTTGTGTGTGTATACACACTGCATTTTTTCAAGATCTGGTCATGTTGATACATATAAATCTAATTCATTAATGTTAACTTCTAAACAGTATCTCATGATGTGACAATTTATCGATTCTCTTACTGACAGACATTATGGTTGTTTCCAATTTTTTACATCCTAGAAAATGATGCAATAAACATTCTTGTACAAGTATCCTTACACACGTGTGGGAATATATTCCTAGCAAAGAAACAGCTGGACAGCATTCTCAACTTTACCAGATACTGCCTAATGGCTCTCCCAAGTGGACAAGGAAAATATAAATATTTATATATGTATACAGAATTGGGAAAGGTGAGGAAGAACTTTGTGGAGCTGGATTTGAATTTATAGGTGTTAACATGACCTCATTCACTAGATGAAAGGTTTTGAAAACAGGAAAGTCATATGATCTCAAAGTATCATGCCACAAATTACTTACTAATTATAAGAGAAACTTTTACAATTTGCTGTATTTTGGAGAGGCAGAGCTTCTTTTCATGTCTATTGGCTATTCAGGTCTCCTCTGATGCTCATTCTTTACCTATTTTTCCATTAGCTTGTCTGTGTTTTACTAATTGATTTGTTTCAATTATTTATATACTTTGGACAATTATAATGCAATATCTTTACTGGTCTGTGATTTACCTATGGCATATTTTGTATAACAAAATTCACAGTCAAGTATCTCAATGTTTTTCTTTATGGTTTATGCATTTTGTAGTAAATTTCATACACTGTTTCCTACCCTCGGGGCCATAAAGATGGTCTCCTATATTGTCTTCAGAAGGCTGATGCAGTACAATGAATTACTTAATATGGCCCTTCTAGCCATGGTCTTTGTGACTCACACACAATGACTGAGTGGGGCTATGCAAATAAGGTATATGGAATGATGGTTGGGGTTATGTTGTCAACTTGGCTAGGCCATGATCCCTAGTATTGTGTGGTTAGCCTCCATTTTATGTATTGTGGATCCTGACTTCTACATGTTAAGGAGGCAGGATTGGTGTAAGGTGTGTCTTCAGTCACAGCCTTGAAGGAGGGTGTGACACAAGCCCTACCCCTACTAGAGTTACACCCTTTCCTGGGGTGTGGCCTGCATCTAAGATATATGTCTGTGTCCTGGTGAGGCTCTCTCTCTCTCTGCATCTGGATCTCATGTCCCATTTGTGATCAACTGACCTCCCCCGAGGCCTGCTGTCTGACCTGTCGATTCTGGAATTTGCTGGCCACCACAGCCTCTTGGGCCGGCAGCCTATTGTGTGACCTGATTTGCCAGCTTCCACAGCCTTGTCAGCCAGTAGTCTGTGGTCTGAACTGTTGGTTTGGGTTTGTCAGCTGCTGCAGCTACATGGGTCGGGAGAAGCCTATGCCTGACCCACGAATTTGGGACTTGCCAGGCTCCACAACCACATGTCCTTTATATGATTCATGAGTTCTGCGAGATGTTGAAGTGAATTAGGGAACCCAAAGACAGGAGGGACAGTACTGAGAGGAGAGGGAATAGTTGATGTTAGAGATGAAGGAGTGGTAAAGCAACTTGGGAAAGTTGGACATTTGGGTCATCTTTAACCTGCATCTCATAGGAACCAGCTTTGTACTTATCCTTATAAAAGAAATTATTTGTTTAGCTGGATTCTATTCAGTTTGTTTATCTAAGAGCTGAACAGTGAGAACCGAGATATAACTCTGTTGGGAGAAAGGAGCCAGTGGTGCAGCCTCCATCAACGTTATCTTCTGATTTTAAGAAGTTTCCAGCTTTATGTGAAGTCTCTCTTCAATTGCATGAATAATTAAGAGTTTCTATTTAAAACAATATACAATAAAGTTACAGTTTCAGGATATTAAGAAAATAGAACAGAATTAGTCACATAAACTTACATGAGTGAAAAAAACTTCATTTTTGAGCTCTTCAGAACTTTCATTTGGAGTCCAAGCTTCAGCAAACTGCAGAAAATCCCATTTTTCCTTTTCACCTTCCTCAGCCTGAAGTCGTTCCTTCCTACCATTCAGTGTGCTCCCTGTAACCTGAGCCTGTAAGACAGCATATGAATTTTATACCCTCTGAATGCCATTTTAACTGCTGATATTCACTAAGTAGTAACTCAATTCTACATTTAAATCACAGGTCCTCCAAGAAAATCTTACCATTTCAACATCTCATAGGCTTTAGTAATATAATTATTCAAAATTACAACCAAAATACCAAGTCAATGATTCCTACATTTAACGAGGAAAAGGTCTAACTACAGAAACTATACTAAACTTTTATTCTGTTACTTATATACTTTGAAATTGAACCTACGTATAATTGGCCATTTTGATTGTCTACACTCAGTGCCTGACAAACACCCTCTAATCCTTAATCCTCCCAAAGTTGGGGAGAAGAGACAAGGGGGCAGAGCAAAGAACATCCTTCCTACCTTTTCTAGAGTTCACATACAGGTTGTTCTCTGTCCAAAATTAGTTGGAAACTCAAGAATCCTTCTGAAAAAGGGTTCATTCTTAAGTCACAGAAAGGACAGGGGCTTGAAAACCTTATGGTTCCTTGATAGCTGACCTTATACTTTTAGCCTCTAAAGTGGTGAAAGAAGGGTTTGGAATACATATAAATTCATTACCCTTTCTTATTATTCTTATTACAGAGGTTAGCAAGTAGTGTACCAACTGAAACCCTTCCTGAACTTGATCTGTACTACCATTATTTTCGTACAGTTAAGTATCCTTTGCTTGAAAACACTAAAACTCAGCCTCTTAACTCATGCAAGCTATGGATCCCAATGAGTAAGTTGATAACTTGGTTTAAATTCAAGCTTTACCTTACGATTCAACATCCCCCACATAAGCGTGTCTAGAGTCCCATTTGCAATGAGGTAGTGAATATTCACAGAACTGCACTGTCCAATTCGATGAACACGGTCTTCTGCTTGTTTTATATGTCCAGGGTCCCAGTACAACTCAGCAAATACAACGTGAGTTGCAGCAGTAAATGTTAAACCCTAAGCAAAATAAACCAAACAAATGCAAATAAACTGAGAACATAATACAAGGCCATATAAAATACTTTTTTTCTGGACATGTTAAATGGACCAGAGAATGTTGAAGGACTTAAAAACAAATCAGTCTTTTGTTTTAAGCCAAATTATGAAAAATTTAATTCATGTCAGGCAAATGAAGACTGCTTATTGCCAGACAGCCAGGTGAGCTATAAAAACACATTTAAGAGGTATTTCAAGATTTCAAAAGTCAGCTTGATGGATACAAAAAATCACTTTATCCTCTGGTAAAGACTGGATTCACATAACTACTAGAAAATCTAATAAAATACATTATAAACTAGAATACAATTTCTAACACATGGTATCCATAGCAACTAGGCAGAGAGCACTCACATCCTCTATTCATCTAATCCGTACTACCATGCTATAAAGCAGAGAAATCACATCTCCAGTAATACTGTTTTCTTTCTATAAAATTTCTCAGGTTGCATCCTCAAGACCCTAAAGTTTACTGACTTATGTCTCAATATAGCTACAGTGCAATTGTAATTTTTTGTTCACTTGCATAATGAAATAGTGTGACATTAAAAATACTAAGTCTTGTTTTATAATCAATATATGAAATAATGAAAATCTCCTCAAACTCAAACTGTGTCAAGAAATACATGATTTTAAAGCTGGAAAACTGAGTGAGCTGTGAACCATGCTTACGTTATTGCTACATACTCGTAAATGATGTTAGGTGGTTGACAGAAATACCTACCACCCTTTGGGAGTGTCAACTAGTCCATGCTGTTGTTCACAGGCAATGGAATGTCTCTGAGTGGCTTTTGTGACGACTGTGCTGTTATTTGGATACGCACTGCTAGTTTAACATAAAAGGTTTTTATATAATGTAACAATGTCATACTAGCATTCATTAAATGGTGGCGCTATTTCTCAAGCTGAAAAATTCACCGAAAATCAGTGACTTTGGAACAGAGGTTAGATGTAATAAAACCATGGAGAGAACAAAACAACCACCACACTAAACTGTGCCGCAATTTAGGACAGGAAACGCCACAAAATATTACAGATAACGCTGAAAAAATAAGAAGCTGTATTTAAGGAGGGACAGCCTTTAGTTTGTTAGAAGTATCACATGACCATACAAGAAAAAAGGAAAAATATGCTGACAAGATCAAGTCACTTTCAGAAGCTGTTGAACAATAATGAAAGAATCACAAGCAGCAAGAACTTTACTTTCCTTTACCCCTATGAAAATATTAGCCTTCAATTGTAAGAGTTTTGAATTATATAAGGTCTTCAGTAATACAGTCTTAAATAAAATGTGAGTGTTCTGTATATTCTTTGGTATGTTTTTTTAAATTGTGCTTTAGATGAAGGTTTACAGAGCAAATTAGTTTCTCATCAAACAATTAATATACATAATGTTTTGTGACATTGGTTGCCAACCTCACATTGTGTCAACACTCTCCCCTTATCAACCTTGGATTCCCTATTATCAGCTTTCCTTTCCCCTCCTGCCTTCTTGTCCTTGCCCCTGGGCTGGTGTGCCCCTTTAGTCTCGTTTTATTTTATGGGCCTGTCTAATCTTTGGCTGAAGGGTGAACCTCAGGAGTGAATTTAGTACTGACTTAAAAGGGTATCTGGGGGCCATAATCTCGGGGTTTCTCTAGTTTCTCTCAGGCCAGTAAGTCTGGTCTTTTTTTGTGAGTTAGAATTTTGTTCTACATATATCTCCAGCTCTGTCCAAGACCCTCTATTGTGATCCCTGTCAGAGCAGTCGGTGGTGGGACCATCTAGTTGTGCTGGACTCAGTCTGGTGGAGGCTGTGGTAGTTGCGGTCTATGTTTCCCTTGTGTCTTTGGTTTTCTTCATTCTCCCTTGCTCCAGATGGGATGGGACAGTGGAGTATCTTAGATGGCCGCTCACAAGCTTTTAAGACCCCAGATGCCACTCACCAAGTCCTGGATATTCTTAATTTCAAAAGGCCTTTTATCACGCCACTCCCAGACTCCTGCCTGGCTTCTTCCTACTTATCATTCCATCTGCTATGAGTATGCCATTTCTAATTTTAAGTTCTTTTTGTTGATATTCTCTATGACTGGAATTTTCTAACAGATATAAAGCTCAGATGCATGGAGGTTTAATATAATGTGATAGAAGTGTTGCAATAACCCTTGTTTTGGTTAGAACTCCTAGTGAGTTCTAGAACTGCTTCATCCTCATGGAGTTCCTATATACAAATAATTTCATATACATCAGTTAGCTGGGTACAAGCAGTTCCTTTGCTCCTGGTCCATATTGTAGAGTCCCCAGAAGCTGCCAGATATGCCATGTACCAGGTTGTTCAAGTACTTTCCCCTATGTTAAATATCCTGGTTTAGATATTTATATCAAAATGTTTTAGAATGTTAGCAGAAAAAAAGTCCAGAAGGATCTCCTCTCTCTTAGTATGGCAGAGACTGGTGCTGCCTTCCCTGATATCTATTCTTCTCTTATTCCTTTGTAACACAACACCTGGTGGTCAGCGGCGCTAGCTGGAATAAAGACTACATTTCCCAGCTTCCCTTCAGGTTAGGTGTGGCCATGGGACAAACTTCAGACCAATGACACGCACAGTTGGCTGTCTAGAGTGCAGATATGATGGAGGAGCTCTAGCAGCCCTCTTAGATAAGACATACCACCTACAAGTTGTGAAGCAGAAGGCTAGAAGGGGCCTAGGTCTAAGGACTTTATCGAATCACCATGCTAGACTTGGATTGTCGCCATGAAAGAATTAAATTCTGTGTATTTAAGTCACTCTTAATTTGGGTTTTCATTTATTTGTGGCCAAACCTAATCCTAACTGAAACATGGACAAACCAGGGGCATGCCATAAAAAGTTCTGAGACAGGTTTTTTTTCCTTCAGATGCTGATGAAACACAACAAAGTAAGTTAAGTGCTGTAAGAAAGGTACGTGAAAAAAATCTATGCAAATTCGAAGGAAGGGAAAAAGGTCTTTGAAAAATACTGACAATCAAATTAATTAGACTCTTCTAGGAAATTCTTTCTTTGGAAATTTAGGAAGATTTGAGTCAAAGGTATTGAAGCCTCCTTCAATTATATTTTCTAGCACTCTCTGAAGAAGAACGAACATTTATTTCACCAGACAGAAATGTTTTAATTATGGTTAATGGCTTTTTATTATCTCAATGACATTTCATTATCAAACTTAGACAAGAAATTTCTTACCTGGCCAGCAGCCTGAATGCTTAGGATAGCCACGCGAGTATCAGGATCCTTCTGAAACTGATTAACTAGATGTATTCTTTCTGAAGATGGAACACTTCCATCTATTCTAACATAACGAGTCTAGAGGTCACAAGGGAAATGGCAAAATTAGAACAAGCCCCAATGCACCCTTCTCATTTTATATATTTTACAGAGTATTTTTATATTCACATAAAAATGGAAACTGGTTAAGATGACAGGTTGGTAAATGTTATACGAAAAGAATCTTAGCCATGCTTTTTCATAGCTTCTTAAAAAATTTTTTAAAAAATATATTTACCAATTTCTTTAGTGTTTCCCTTAATAGAAGACAACTGGGTTCTCATATTTGCTTCTCTTAATAGCTTCTTATATACCTTCTTTCCCTTCTATTGTTTCAGTTACTTCAAAGTAGAATCTGTATCTAATTCATCTTTATATTTTCAATGCTAAGAGCAATCCCTGCATATCAGCAGGTGCTCTACAAATCTTTGCTGAATTAAGCTAAGGTTGTCTTCAGTATATTTCTATGTAAATTGGTATGCAAACTTTAAATGGTGGATTAGATGAACTTTAAAGTTAGAAGATCACTAATTCTCCAGTAAAACCAAACCAGGTAAGTTAGAAAATGAATGACGATTCTGCCCACATATTTTCATGTATGAAGGATTCGTGAAGAACAGTACATAAATTTCTAAAATATCCCAAATATTACCAGAGGAATTATCTTTTTAATCTACCATGTCAGTTTTCTTTTTATATATATATATATTATCAAAATTAAAAGAAATATGTAATACGGTCATCTCCATTAAGGTGGGAAACCAAGGCGCACACACACACACATTTTTAAAAAGTACGGAAACATTAAGTGCTAAACTGAACAGTGCTGTCTTTAAGAATGATTGAAGTTAAGAAAAGGGAGGAATCAGTGTGTCTTAGAATAGCTAAAAGGAACACATTACTCAACTTCTTAAATTTCAAATAGTCTTATTCATATGTGTACTTCTATGGAAAAACCTAGCCTTCAATAGTTGAGACACACGAATATTCACTTTTATAAGGGAATATCCAAGTTAATCATTAACTAGAATGTCTCATATTAACTTTCTGTGTCTTTGCAAAATAGGTATCAATGACCAGTGATCCATTAAGAGAGGCTATACAGGTCTCTGAGGGTCCTTCTAAAGAAAACACATTATCAGTCAGGCTAGGGAGAGTTTAGGAGACATTCACCCCCAACCTCATGACTGCCTACATTTTTAACGCTTACTGATATTAAATGGGATTCTGAACATATCAGTGAAGTACAAGCGGGGAAAAAAGAAGGACTGCTATATCTGGACTAGAATCTAGTAACTTTAAGGAATAACAGAATCAGAATAAGAAGATATTATAAATCTAATTTTATTGCACAATCATTTAAAAATATTTTTAAGGTTAATTAACTCTTCCTCAGAGGATGTTTTACAGATACTATTGGATAATAATGAGAAAGTATCACTTAATGTACAGCACTTTATTATGTTATATTATCATAAATCCTTCTATGAAGGAAATGCCAGAATTACTTGTTTGGTAATATTGATGACCATATTTGCTATTATTTAAACAATTATATACAAAGTTTTAAAAACCATGACTCTGCTGCTCCATTAAAAAACAAAAACAAAAACCTACCTACTCAGGCAAGTGTCTCTGCCTCTACATACATATTAAGCTTACACAATTTGTCAGGAAATTTCTTTTGGCTGCCTCTGAGGATCTCTAGAAGTCCTCAGTATTTAAAAAAGCAGATGACAGGTTTAAACTTTGACACACACAAAAAATGGAAGTCACTGTCACTGATAAGACTGTTGGAAAAGAAGGTGGACCTAAGAAAATGCAATAAGGCAAGCAGAGTTGGTAAAGTTAACCTGATGGATTACCTGTTCTATACATTTCATATTTGTTTATACTAAATCTTAATAATCATATTCTGTACAGACTATGTTACTTGGAAGTTTAAAAGGTATGACTGCAGTTAGGCACTGTAATTGGTGGAATTTATTCTTCTTTTCCCCTCTGCATCACCCACAGCCTAAAGCAGCCTTGCAGGTAGACAAAAATGTGAACTTTTAAGTGCCTAGGACACTCTCCAATGGTATACCCAGGAAGAAAAACGGAATTCACATTATAGCCTCTCAAGTACATCTTCAATTAATTCATATCATTTCATCAATGGAAAATTATAAGCCTTGTATTAAGGTAAAAATTTAATACTATATCGTAATTGTAATATTAATATAATCTTAACATAATTCACAAGAAAAATACCCAATAATAATGTATATACTGTCATCTAAAGAAGGTAAAATAAGCTCAATTATAAGACTACAATTTAGTCTTAAATTAGAATATTAAATGGATATTTAGTATATTAAAAATCTACATTACAAAAACTATTTTATAAAATAAAATGGTAACATACCTTGCTTTCTATGACTGCCTCTGTGCAAGCTTGGAGCATGCTTAAATGGTGAGCGAAAACCAGAAATTTAAGTGACTCGTTCTGAAGCATCATCTTAATATAATCCTTTACAGCACCTGCCTAAATATTAAAAGTTAAACCTTATTAACATCATTAAAATGTTTATAAAAAATCATGTTACTTTCTTTTAATTAAGGAAAAATCAGAGTTTCTATGAACTTTTAACTGCTTGGTTCTCTAGGTAGTCTGCAAGCCCACACATACGGGGCATGTGGAAGAAGATGGACAAAATGGGAAAAAACAGGCAAAAGAAGAACAATACAAGGTATAGGAGTCAACAACAACACACAAGACAGGAAAGTTTCAATGGAAAGGAAGGTGCCGAGAAGGCTTACGGCCTAGGAAGGGTTTGGTGGTTTTGTTTAGGTGATTTTCAAAACAGCTTATACAGAAGACTAAAAATAGGATAAAGTTAAGGAGAAAATAGAAAGTAAAAAGGCAGATTATTGATAAAGCTCCCCCCGCCAGAAGACTGTAAAAGAAGTAAATAAGAAAGCTGGGACTGAGGCTTAAGGGTTCTGGAAAGTTGGTTTATTAATTTAGAAACTTGGGTAGGCTTACAAACACGTAGGTAGAGTTGATCATTAAGAGAAATGGAAAACTAGGGGACTCAGCTTGTCTATGGAATGGAGAAGGTCCAAGAAGAAACTAGAATAATGTGATCAAGAGCACAGAAGGGAGATCTGAGAGAATGGGGGAAGACAGAGAAATTGTGAGGCAGAAGAAAAGAAAATCAAGAAAGTTCAGACTGAATAGCATTTTCATAGTTAACGTGAGGCTAAGCTATCTATTAGGAGTGAGAACTCAATATGGGATGAATTAAATGGGAATTAAATTTAAAGGAGACAGCATGAATTAAGTTTAAAACCTGCATATATTATCACTTAAATGTTACAAACTAGTTGCTTAGAAATTTTGGAGAAAGACAGCAGGCTGAACACATTTAACCTCCACTCCCTTCCAGTGCTATATTTAAATGACAGTATAGTGTATAGGGACAAAGAGAATTAGAGAGGAACCCACAGAACAACATTTTGGAAGCTAAAAAGCAAATGGATGCCTGGTAACTGATTAGCTGACCTGACAACCAACTCCTGGGCAGTCAGTAGGGCCAGTTGAGAAGCACCTGCTATGCACTGCAGTAACGCAGAAAGGATCAGGCAATGGCACCTCTAAAAGTGGGGCTGGAGTGTGGCTAAACCCTGAGAACTGGTTCAAAGTGTGTTTAAGTAGTTGATTATGTGCAACGTTATATCCTCTCCCACCCATTCCACACAGTAGATGACTACCCCAGCCCCATCCTGGCAGAAAACTAGAGATTTGTTCTCTGGAGAGGTAAAACAGAGGGGACATTTCTTAAAGAAGCTAAAACTAGTTTTTAAAGATATTGGGGAGAGATTAAATAACTAGGGAAGAGTTTGAGGACAAACAGAAAACTAAGCAAAAGAAAACAAATAACAACAACAAAAATTTGACAATTATCAAATCCAAAGAAAACAAAATGTGTTGCATAAGAAACTGTATTACATGGTTCATCTGTAAATATTGTAAACATGGCTATAATAATATACATGGTGACTACTGATCAAATCAGAATTTGTATAAGTTACTATAACATTAGCAGCACAAAAATTATCTATCTATCTATCACTTTACTGGGAGGAGGGGAAAGATGTGCGTGGGAGGGCCACAGGGGTGAAAGAGCTAAAATTTTATCTTCCGTACTGAGAAACTAACTAATAACAATTAAAATTACAAATCAAGAAGTAATAAACAAGGTACAACAATTGGTCTCTATACAACTGGAACAACAAAGAAGAGTCAGGAATAGGAGGAGGAAATGGATGTGTGGCTAACTGCGTCCATGAACTGCCTCCTGCTATGAGATCAGAACTGGATGGTGCCAGGCTACCATTACTGAACGTTTTGATGATATTCTACAGAAGAATCCTAATAGAAAGGAAGAAAATGCAGAACAGAATTTAAAATTCCCGTGGAATCCATACTTTCTGGAGCCATGGTGGCAGGATGAACCCCTGAAACTACTGCCGTAAGATAATCTTTAAACCTTAAACCAAAAATATCCTCTGAAGTCTTAAAACCAAACAATAGTTTAACTTAACTACTAAAGCATGCCTGCCTTCATCACTGTGCTCTTTTAAGAACTATCTATATGGGATCAAACTGACAACAACAACTCAAAAGATTAGATAGGAAACACAGGGGGCAGTGAGTTCACGGTAATGGTGTTGGAACAATTTGGAAAAGAAGGGTGAGAGAATGGTTGCACAACTAGAAGAATGTAATCAATCTCACTGAATTGTACATATAGAAATTGTTGAATTGGTGTATGCTCTGCTGTGTATATTCTAAACAACAATAAAATAAATTATTAAAATAAGTAACAGAATTCAAGAAACAATATAACCTTGAGGAATTTGAAGTAAATACTAAAGGAATCAGTTAATAGAAAGTAGTTGCATCCAGGAAATGAGGTGGTTGTTCTTAGCTGCCATCAAGTCAGTTCATACTCATAGTGACCCTATGTACAAAAGAATGAAACACTGCCTGGTCCTGTGCCATCCTCACCATGGTTCCTATATTTAAACCCATTGTTGCAACCACTGTGTCAATCCCTCTCCTTGAGGGTCTTCCTCTTTACTTTACTAAGCATAATGTCCCTCTCCAGGGACTGGTACCCCTAATAACATGTCCAAAGTACACGAGACAAAATCTGGCCATCCTCGCTTCTAAGGAGCATTCTGGCTGTACTTCTTACAAGACAGATTAATTCATTCTTCTGGCAGTCTATGGTATATTTAATATTCTTCACAACTATCACAATGCAAAGACATTGGTCTTTCTTATTCATTGTCTGCTTTCACGTGCATATGAAGTGACTGAAAAAATCATGGGTTGTGTTAGGCGCACCTTAGTCTTCAAAGTGACATCTTTGCTTTTCAACACTTTAAAGAGGTCTTTTGCAGCAGATTTGCCCAATGCAATATATCATTTGATTTCTTGACTGCTACTTTCATGGATGTTGATTGTGGATCCAAGTAAAATGATATCCTTGATAACTTTAATCTTTTCTCCATTTATCATTATGTTGCTTATTGGTCCAATTGTGAGGATTTTTGTTTTCTTTATGTTGAGTTGCAATCCATACTGAAGGCTGTAGTCTTTGATCCTCATCAGTAAGTGCTTCAAGTCCTCTGCACTTTCAGCAAGCAAGGATGTGTCATCTGCATATCGCAGGTTGTCGATAAGTCTTCCTCCAATCCTGATGCCACGTTCTCCTACATATAGTCCAGCTTCTTGGATCATTTGCGCAGCACACAGATTGAATAAGTATGGTGAAAGGATACAACCCAGACGCACCCATTTCCTGATTTTAGACCACGCAGTATCTCCTTGTTCTGTTCAAACAACTCCCTCTTGGTCTATGCACAGGTTCTGCATGAGCACAATTAAGTATTCTGGAATTCCCATTCTTTGCAATGTTATTCATAATTTGTTATGATCCATACAGTCAAATGCCTTTGCATAGTCAATAAAACACAGGTAAACATCTTTCTGGTGCTGTCTGCTTTCAGCCAAGATCCATCTGATATCAACAGTGATATCCCTCATTCCATGTGCTCTTCTGAAACTGTCTTGAATTTCTGGCAGTTACCTGTCAATGTACTGCTGCAACCGCTTTTGAATGATCTTCAGCAAAATTTTACTTGTGTGTGATATTAGTGGTTGTCTTAGTTATCCAGTGCTGTAACAGAAATACCACAAGTGGATGGCTTTAACAAAGAGAAATTTATTCTCTCACAGTTTAGGAGTCTAGAAGTCCGAATTCAGGGTGCCAGCTCCAGCGGAAGGCTTTCTCTCTCTGTCAGCTCTGGGGGAAGGTCCTTGTCATCAATCTTCCCCTGGTCTAGGAGCTTCTCAGTACAGGAACCTTGGGTCCAAAGGACATGCTCTGTTCCCAGTGTTGCTTTCTTGGTGGTATAAGGTCCCCATACCTCTCTGCTTGCTTCTCTCTTTTACATATCAGAAGAGACTGACTTAAGACAAAATCCAGTCTTGTAGATTGAGTCCTACCTATTAACATAACTGCTGCTAATCCTGCCTCATAAGATCATAGAGGTAGAATTTACAACACATAAGAAAATCACATCAGATGACAAAATGGTGGACAATCATACAATATTGGGAATCACAGACTAGCCAAGTTGACACACATGAATTTTTGGGGGACACAACTCAATCCATAACAGTGGTATTATTCAATAATTACCACATTTTGTTGGATCACCTGTATTTGGAAGGAGGAAATTTGGATTTCTTCCAGTCAGTTGGTCAGGTAGCTGTCTTCCAAATTTCTTGGCATAGACATGTGAGCGCTTCCAGTGTTGATTCCGTTTGTTGAAACATCTCAATTGGTATTCTATCAATTCCTGGAACCTTGTTTTTCGCCATTCCCTTCAGTGCAGCTTGGATTTCTTCATTCAGTACTATCAGTTCTTGACAATATGCAACTTCCTGAAATGTCTGAACGTTGACCAATTCTTTTTTGTACAGTGACTGTGTAATCCTTTCACTTTCTTTTGATGTTTCCTGCATTGTTCAATATTTTGCCCATAGAATCCTTCAATATTGCAATTCAAGACTTCAATTTTTTCTTCAGTTCTTTCAGCTTGAGAAATGCCGAGCCTGTTCTTTCCTCTGGTTTTCTAACTCCAAGTCTTTGCACATTTCATTATAATACTTTACTTTGTCTTCTCTAGCCACCCTTAGAAATCTGTTTGGCTCTTTTACTTCATCATTTCTTCACTTTAGCTACTCTACATTCAAGAGCAAGTTTCAGAGTCTCTTCTGACATGCATTTTGATCTTTTCCTTCTTTCCTATTTTTGTACTGGCATTTTGCTTTCTTCATGTATGATATCCTTGATGTCATCTCACAACTTGTTTGGTCTTCGGTTATTGGTGTTCAGTGTGTCAAATCTATTCTTGAGATGGTCTCTAAATTCAGGTGGGATATACTCAAGGTTGTACTTTGGCTCT